GCAGTAGTGAAAAAACATGGGAATACACTAGTTGGAAAGGATCAGGGGCAGCATTTTCATGCGCTTGTGCAGGGTTTAGTACATCATGTGAAGGATTCAAAGAAATCCAAAACTTGTGAAACAAGGAGGAGGCGAATGTTTCATCAACAACGAGGAGTTAAACTACCAAATCGAAGGCAAATCATATTGGGGCTAGGGGGAAAGAAGCCACGGCTGAAGGCTGCGAAGAGATGATGAACCTTAAATCTCTTTTGTACTACAAGAATCTGGATAGGAAGAATTACTGTTTAACACCATGCATTGTTGATCATAATCACAAAATTGCATGGTTCCTGATATCTTACTGTTTAAATGAAAAGCACATCATCACATGCAAACGGGTAAATGACAAAGTAAGACTATGAATTGGGGATTTTTACCTGTTTAAACAGTTGAGGGGCCATTTGCCTTCCACAATGGATAAGTGTAGCTCGTGGGAGTCGGCCTAGGTATCAAACTATCAATTCAACCAATTGATGTTCAGTGGAAGCAAAGGCTATTTTAATGGAATTGAATGGCCAACAAGAACTCAAGAAGAAGGATTTTACTAACTTGGGAAATTCTTGGAGGACGTTAGACGTCTGTTAAGCCCAGCCATTGTATATTTGAGTGGGCTTCTGGCCCATTTCCTTCTGCTTCAAGTCCAAGTTCACACGAGAGTTTTCAGTTTTGATTGTTCAGCAAATAACGGACAGGCCGGTATTAATATTGGGCTCCGTAGCACCCAAGTTGGCTTCTGACCGTCTTCCCCCAGCTCCTTTGTTTGACGACTTTCCAGCCTGTGTGACTTAAGTTGCTGACTTGGCTTGCTTGCAATCTCCATTCAGTCCTCACTGTATACTGAGTTCATCAAATCTGCAGCCCATGACACAAATCAGTCGGCAGATTTAGACGTAATAGTATGGTCCATGAAACCGTACCGGAGACCGTATCGGGAAAGTTAGCGGTAGGGTATTTTATGGTAAAATCGTGGTTTAACCGTAGTTCAACCGTTATACCGGTAAATATTGCATATCGTTTTAGCCTCCGATACTGGTATTTCGTGGTTGAACCGCCGGTACGGTACGGTTTAATAGACACTGCATAATACTCGTTCAAGCAACAGATAAGTCCATTTGTTTTTATGAAGAGTCTCCCCTCCAGGCCTCCATCTGCAGAAACCAAAACAAGCCATATAGCCTTAATTTACAAATGATCTGAAAATGTCTGCTGACTCTAATCCTAACCACCACAACCTATATCATCTTCCTCTTCCATTCCCATGGAGATCCAGAAGGAAGAAGCCAAAACAAAAGGAACATTCCTGCCCTTTGGCTTATGCCGTCAGACGTACATTGTGCTTCCCCAGATCAGTCAAATGAACGGGGAACAAAGGCGTTAATGGAATGCGCACAAACACCCCTTATCTTCAGAACTACTTCTACCCCTTTCGCATAGTTTTCTTTCTTCTATTCCTCAGTTCCTGTTAATCTTTATATATGTACAAGAAGTGAAAAACTAGAGAACAAGCAATAAGCACCAACCATCTGGCCTAGTTGGACATGATTCAGTACGGGTTTCTCCACCAACATAAGTTGGTCGAGGTTTGCGTTTACTTGGCTAGAAGTTTATCAAAGGAGCGGGAAACTAAACGTTTGACATGATCGATTGTGACTTATCAAGTTGATCCATACTGTTTGAACCACTTTTCAGTGAGAGGTTGAGAAGCAAAAGGGATCGAGAAACTACTTATCATATCACAGAAACTAGTGATCAGGAGGGGAGGAGATATGGTAATGATGGGTAGAAGAGACAGGGAGCTTCTTACTTTTCTGGATCACTAAGAGCCTTAGAGAAAATGGTAATATCACAGGAATTTGGACAGTGGGAAAACCCACCTTTCACCTTCTATCTCTTTAACTGGTCCAGCAAATCAACTCACCACTACGCTAATACACACTTTGGTTACTCCTAAAACAATTTCAAACCATTATAAGGCCGCCTAAGCCATCTAAATTGGGACACCTAAATCACGCCAAAAGAGACAGTGACCGCTAGCATCATGTTTTCTTATTCATTCTAATTTCTTGTCACTAGTAAGGCTAAAACACTAACCCCATTCCACAGCTTTTGGCCGACGCCAGTGTATCCAAGAGGGGTGAAGATATACATAGAGATCAGGAAAAAGATTTCCACTTTCGAATTCCATGATCCCATACAAGAATATAACAAAAAGGCCATACTGCCACTCCCATTTCCCATGGGATGGCCACGGCGTTTATAAATAAAAGAATGTCAATACTTTCAAGCATTATCATGTATTAATATTATCACTTGATGACAGATTAATTAATTACTGAAATGAAGAATATTAAATGTTATCAAAGCACATAGTCCACATACCAGGATCCCTATCGTGGAATGTAGGATTTAGTGACACTTGTTCGTAGCCAATTGGCCGCCCGGCTTCCTGTTGCAACCAGCAAGTAAAATGGTAAAAAAAAATATCAACTTAATGGAGACCTTTGTGCAAACAATATACATGGAGCAGCCAGATATGAGATATTCTGTATATGGTAAATTGCTAGATTCAACTTCTTTCCTTGCCAATATAAATCAACAATAATAAGTTCCAACAGCTAATCAATCATCTCTAGCCTGTAGATTACAGAATACATGGATTCATTATGCTGCACCAAGGCGCACACGTGTATTTTTACTTGCATACATAAAGCATAAACAAACACACAGAGAGTGAAAGAAGAGGCATCTATAAACACTAGTGGAGAGACCATGGAAAATGTTGAGTGGTGTCCACGTCACATGAGTAGTACAAGACATACTATCTCTTATCTCTATATATCTCTAATCCACTATAAAGCCACCATCGTCATTTAAATCCCTAGCTTTGTTATCTTCAACAGTAGGAGTGGCTGCAAATTGCCAAATGCCTAATATCACAGCCACAAATTTATCACTTTGTTTTGCATTTGTGTTAATATGGGCACATGATGCCATGTTCCACTTTCAGAAAAACCACCTTCTCCTTCACATTGTTCATAGACCTGTGAAATCCAATTCCCCCATCTCTGAAACTGAAAAGACACATCTGACTATAAACCCATTTCCTGGTATCTCTTCTACCTGTTATCTAGACAGATGTACGGCCAATCGTTAAAGGAGAATCCTGTGAATTTTTAGGGCATGAGTTCACCTTGTTGTACATGAAAGGATTCTGCAATGGATGAGAATTTCCAAACATGCACTAGGATTTACAAATCTACTGCATGGTTCCTGACTAATTTATGCAGAATCCTTAGAACCTCAAGTACACCCAAGTTGGACAAGGGATACTTCGAAAAAGGAAAAACAGATAGAAAGATAATTGCAGATGAGCGTTTCAGGACAATAACTATGCTGCTCTATGCTAAACTGCAGAGAAACTAAAACGAAAACAAAGAAAAGTAAGATTATCATTCTTCACATAAAACCACCAGGAAGACTAATAGTGGTTTATATAACTAACTAACCGTAACCTCACTAACCTACTAAAAGGTTAATAACAATAATAACCCTATACGTGTATACACGCAACTGTTCCTTTCTACACATTACATGTTGCTACATGGTCTTGAATGAAACAAGATGTTTCTGTGTTAAAGAGGGAAAAGAAAACGACCTGTCCATAATCTCTTTCTTGCGCTGTAAGCAGATTCCTTTATTGCATTCTTTGAATAGAATCATTCTTATACATTGGCGTTCCTCTCATCTGTCGCCATTAGAGTTGGAATGATTAAATGAACCTTATCTCCTATATATCGTCATTAATTTCAGTATCTTTGTTTTCAGATATCACTCCAGTTTCGATGCAGAAAAGAAAAAAATGAGACGAGCAAAAGGAGAACAGAACCTAAGAATAGGAAAATGGTGGTTTGGAAGTGAATAGGCTCAGCAACTTGTACAGCCTCGAGCCTCATTAAGTATTATATCCAGGAAATATAATATCTTACTCCATAATCAATTTTTATTCCAGAGGCGGCCACTAAGATGACAATTGAACAGTTCCTGTTCTATCTCTATTCCCTGCTTTTACAAAATTTGTCCTCTTCTTTCTTTTTCCTATAACTGGACCTATTTTTCTATTCACTAAAGTCAAGGAATACTCCTACCATTCCCTCAAATTGAACGGGCAGAAAGGAAGTCTAGGAACTTCCATGAGCTTTTATTCCTTTTTATCCAATCATAGTCACTGAGCCAATCCTTATTCTAGTAAATTTTCCTCTTAAGCTCATACTTTGTTGTCACCTTAAGCATTCATCAGGTTGCATTTCTACAAGACAGTGCTTTTCCAAAAAGAGCAAGCAATCACTAATCATAATCAGTAGTATTACAAGTAGGAGTAAGACTATTCAAAAGGAACACCAAATTAATATCAAGAATATAGAAAAACATGCAGCGTACCTGGTTACCAAATCGGCAAACTATTATGTTGTTGTGTAAACAATCGAGGTTCGAAGCAGTATTACCGCAGGCGAAAAATTTACATAGGCGATCATGACAGCACAAAACCGAGATTCATCTCAAAACAAGCAGGCTAGAAAGAACATGCAAAACGTTTCAAATCTTCAACGAGCAAAGATGAGCTAGCTAATGATAAAAGTTATTTCCACATATCAACTTATTGCTTTGGTTATTTTCACATTATAGTGGCTGGCGTCACAGCTCACAAGCATTAGCTGCCCTATCACATTGAAGTGCACGCGCACTGCAATTGTGCGGTGTGGATTCAATATCAAAATATTGTTGTTTTTTTATTTGGCAAGAGATAATTCGCAGTGTTTGTCCACTACCCAGAAATTGGCATATATAAATGTTCCCCCCAGCGTGCTCCTAAAGTGCCAAGCTTCAGCTAAGAGTAAGAAAAAGGTGCAGAGAGACAGAGTAGGAAGGCAACAGAGAGTAGGGAAAAGACAAGGAAGAAGATGATTCAAGACGAAACCCGGAAGGGTCCTTGGACAGAACAGGAGGACATCCTCCTGAACAACTTTGTGCACTTGTTTGGAGATCGACGATGGGATTTTATTGCTAAAGTTTCAGGTTTGAAGGTGGCGGGAGACGCGTAATAGGTACGGTAATCTGGGGATGGTTGGCCTCCCAAATGGCCTACCTTTAACAACCTGGCTGTTATAATTTCGTTGTAGGTTTGAACAGAACAGGAAAGAGTTGCAGGTTGCGATGGGTTAACTATCTCCATCCTGGACTCAAGAGGGGAAAGATGACCCCTCAAGAAGAGAAACTTGTGGTGGAACTTCACGCCAAATGGGGAAACAGGTATGACAAAATAATGATTCATAAGCAACTAATCACTTATGATCCTTTTTGTAGGTTTAGAACTTACAGAATTCTAAACTTAAACCAATTCATCTCATGAAGATGGTCAAGAATTGCTCGCAAATTACCAGGGCGAACTGACAACGAGATCAAGAACTACTGGAGGACTCATATGAGGAAGAAGGCTCAAGAGAGGAAAAGGGCTGCTACTATGTCTTCTCCATCATCGTCATCATCATCATCTTATCGGTCCTCTTCTTCCAACACTACTGCTGTGTACTCGTCACCTTTCCCAGAGGCTGGAGAAGAGCAGCCTAGCTTCTACGACACTGGAGGGAACCAAGTGGCAGCGGCAGTAGCTACAACTGGCAAAACTAACGATCTAATGCAGGTAGGTGACAAAGGATACTCTATGGATGACATATGGAAAGACATCGAGGGCACAATATTTGAACCAGTAGTTTCTGAAGGCTTAATTGAAGAAGGCTGCAATTTCTCTGGCACGCCTTCAATGGTTTCTACTGACTGGGACTACTGCACTACTGACACACTCTGGAAGCTGGATGATGAAGAGGAGAGTAAAATGTTTCTTCCCTATGACTATGGAACCGCGTTTTTAACTGGCTAGTATAAAGGAAATTCTTTATTCAGATTTTTGTTCATACTACTGTGATATGTCTGCGAGGAAGCTCTAACCTGTATAGCATGGGGTTTTTCTCTTAAGCCTTTTCTTATTTTCCTAATGTGTGGCCATCCTTATGCATAAGCCATAGAGCTATGTCCTTGTGTCTTTTTAGTGTTATGCTCAATCCTCAGAAGTAGAAAGAGAGATAGGCATGCTACATCTCCCTTGAGGAGAGTCTTTTATGTTCAAGAATGTGTAATAGAAGACTAAGAGTACTATCAATAAGTTTCAATCAAGCTATAGTTTTTGCAAGATACTTCTCCATATTCAAAGAATAGAAATGCACAGTTGTAGCAAGGAACGAAAACACAGTAAGCAGAGCAGATGACCACAATATGGATTAACTTATTCTTTGTCCTTCCAAAACACAACATCCTAATGGTTCATAAATAACTCTGCCAACCATCTATAACCTTCGAAATAGTCTTGCAACTGTAGTTTCCAGCCTACAAGACATTAAACAACATTATGCTTTTGTGCATTTTGTGGAGAAATTTATGCCTGGTATTGTTCAGTCTTGCTACTCTGATCACAAGAGTTCATGCAAAGGCTCATAAGAACTAAGAAGTTGATTAAGATTGTGAAGGAGAAACAAGTCATGATGGACAGTTGAGTAGGCAATGTGTCAATGTGAGAAATTTGGTAATCTTTTAGTTAGTAGGAAGGCCCGAGACTATATTAAAAAGATCAAGATGGAAAGCTGATAGCGGATGGATGAGAAGTGCTCCATTGCTCAACTTTCAAGGACTAGCCCACATGGTCGATCTTTGGCCTAATCTTAATGGTCTTCACTTTGCTCTAAGATGCCTAATAATATGATCTTGAAATACTAAATAGCTTAGTAGCTGGCTGAGCCCTCAATTCCATTATCATGTTTTCTTTTGCCTAAGTTAATCATCATAGCTCAATAGAAAAAGCCATACATGAAACAACTATAATAACAAGAGAAATTGAACACTACTACGTTTTATTTCATCATGCATGATTCAGCAAGCATACTCTCACTAAACCGGGCCAGGAAAACCACTCAGGGTCACCAAAATACCTCTCCAGTCCCCTCTAGTGACTGAGAAAAGAAAAATAGGACAATGGTCCAAAGGGAAGGTTTAATATCTTCTACCAGTAATATCAAAATCTGGTTTCAAATTAATGCCAAGAAGTTGGCTTAATGGTTATGGTAAGTTCGAGACTTGGATCAACAATCATCTAGAAGCAGAATTGGCTTGCACACACTTTCGCGAAACCAGTATTACTTAGTTGTCCTAACTCCAACATCGGCTGTACAAAGAGCAAACTACGGATTTAAAAATTGTGGGCATATATTAGTTTACTTGACTACTGTTTGACAAGTGATCGCTGTGCTTCAAAGATCCTATCCTCCCAGAATAAAAAGAAGCAGAACAGAAGAAACAAAGGAAAACCTATGGTCTGTCTTCAATATCTAAAGTCCAGTGGGAGGACTAATTATCATCCAATCTAAAACATCTGGTGATTTTGCTTTCTTGTCCGAGAACCCTAACAATCTAAGTCGCCAAAAAGCTAACCTACAAGCATCGTTCAAACCTCCATGTCAATACATTTACTGATCTAATGAGAGGCGGCCCACAACAATAGCTCGTAATGTAACTACAACGAAGAACAGTTTTGGCAAAAAAAATATCCCTATTGTTTTCCTCCGACGGAGCATTAACCAACCTGCCTTCCCTTCGGTAAATCCCTACGGCAAATCCCTCCTAACAACAAGCAGTCACCCCTACAACCGACAACCTCTTCCAATCGTCCTACCAACAACCCCTGCTTCTGGCTAGGGTTTCTAATCCTGAACAATAAACGAGAGATGACGATTCGAATGTGAGATTTGGCACCTCCTTGAGCAAAAATGGACTGGGATTTCCCTCCTCTAGCTGGCTGCCCTCAAACTGCTCCTCTCGAACTCCCTGCTCTCTAACTCCTCTTAGTCCTCTTCAAACTGGTGAGTGAGATGGGGTCAGTCTACGCCCTTACGTTTAACATCTTATTAATACTTGATCACTTTACTTAACTTAGTGGAAGTTGTTTTGCACTTCCACTATTAGAAATCTTGACTCTTAAAACTGTATTCGTAAAGCTCAAATCTCAACTTTAAATACTTGACTGACACTGGGATCCCTCACTAGCTAGTTCGGTTGCCCAACTCATACATATGAGAAGCCATCCAGGCTTTCCTTAAACTTAAACTTAGTTAGGGGAGTCGTAACGATTCATCCCACTAACATCTTAAACTTATCGTGGTGGCTCTTCACCACGATTCTCAAGAGCATAACTGCTGCTCTATCTCAAAGATCTCCAATGGCAACGGACTGACGCTAGTGACTAAAAACTCTTTAAACGGTTTCACCTCTTGAAAGTGAAGTACTTCTTAAAAGAAAGATTGTTCTTAAACTTCAACTTACTTATAAATAAAACACGCATTATAATATGTATAACTGGAAGCATAAATCACACGCAATCACATGCATCAGCTAAACACACAAAGGCAAGTATAGCACATAGCAGTCTATCTCAAAAACTAAAATACCGTAAGACGTAGAATTTACCCCCTTTACACTCACCTGACTATATAGCTAAAATCCATCGGCTTCATGAACTAGGTACTCCAAAAGTTGTCATGGACAACTTAGCATTTAATCGACGATGCTCCACGATCAACTCCATTCGTCTCGGTCGCCAAAAATCAACCACAACAAATCGCCCAAGCCATGTTAAAACACCTCCAATATACGTACATATTTACTTAACAATTTCACTTGATATCCCTCTTATGAATATAACTAAATGCTTACCCAAAACCATTCGCCTTCAATTTCCGTTTGAACCTGCTCGTATCCAAATTGATCCTCTCCCACCACTCTTTGTTTCGGCAGAGTGGCCGCCGTTCACATCTCAATCGCCCTGCTCTACTACTAAACTGCCTCCTGCTTGCTTAAGCAGGAAGCTGGCGTAGTACAGGGGTGCACCGATGGGCCAAAAGGCGATAGCTTGGTTGGCTTACCGCCTCCTGCTTGTTTGTCCATTTAATTCATCCAACTTGCTTCCAATTAATTGACGTGCTAGCTTTTTTTGAGCCTGCTCTTCCATTTGCACTTGTCACATAGCTCCACCTCAGCTACTCTTAACCTCTTTGTGTGTGAGACGTGAGTTATTTTTAATTTCAGCTGCTAGATTCCTCAATTGGGCCAGCTTGCGATACGCTTCAATTTGACGTGGGGCAATTTCAATGGCGGGCCGCCTCCTGTTTAATACGTAGTAGAGGGGAGATCTGCAATAGTGTCCGCTCACACAGCCGAAGCAGCTCCGCTTATCAAGTGGAGAAGAAGAAGAAGACACTCTGCAGAATGAACAGAAGTGAAGAATGCAGAGGTTGCTGAAGAAACGAAGAAGAAGAAACCTGATAGACCGTTAGTTACACGTGTTTTCACCCCTGTTCTTACACCGTTTGAGAGGTGGTTTCTCGTGTTTTAGACCGATTTCACGCTAGGTTGTGCTTGTTTGTGATATTTCAGGTCTTGGCAAGTGAATGAAGGTTTAGGAGCGAGTTCGGGGTCGATTGGGCGAAGTTTGGGCGCGAGGCAAGTCGCAAAGGAGGTCACACGGGCTGCCCTGATGTTCACACGGCCGTGTGAAGTAATGGCCTGGCCGTGCGAGTTTTGCCGAGAGCACACACGGGCAGAGCAGAGGATCGACACGGCCGTGCCACATTCTGCGAGAGCAAACACGGGCAAAAGGGGATGTCTACACGGCCGTGCCATTCTGGCCGTGCAAAGAGCCTGAAATTCGACTAAATGATACGCTGCGTTTTGACTCACACGGGCAACTGGGTGAGCTGCACGGCCGTGCCACCCTGGCCGTGTGAGTCGGGATTTTCTCCTTTTAAGCAGAATTTCAGCCACAATTCGTGGGGATTCGAGTTTTTGAGAGAGAGATCAGTTCCTAGAGAGAGAAAGTGACGAGCAAGAGTTCCCAAGTGCCCTAGATTGATCTTCAACACCATTGGAGGCCAGCTTGAGCTTGGAGGAGTGCCAATCAACGTCCAGAAGCAGGAATCCATCCTTTGCGGTATGAATTCCGTGTCTGATTCTGCTTTAGCTTTCTTCTCTATGGAGTAGTTCTCCCATTCATCTGGGTATGGAGAACCCTAGATTTGTATGTTAGGCTTTGATTGTATGAACCCAAGTACTGATTCTATGATTGATTATATTCGATTGAGGTTTTAATGATTGAATGACTTGAATCCTGATCAAATTCCTGTTGTTTCTGCTTTAACCTAGAATGAGAATATCTGCCTAGGTTAATAGAGTATCCTTGATTGAAGGTAGGGAGTTGGTGACTTTAGTCGAGGAGCCAACTCACTATTCTGTACCGGATTTACTCCGGTAGTGGAGGTTTTGTTCTTAGGGCCTCAATCTGTCGACTCTGGTGGAGGTTAGTCGCCCGCTAGAGAGTCAGATTGAGAGGGTCTGAAGACCTTTAGTCGAGACTTCAGGCTGTTTGAGAACCTTCCGCAGTATAACTGTCATAGAAACTGAACTTGGTAATTACAATCCGGCTTAACTGCAGTCTAGGGGGAACCATATCCGGGTGACCTCTTTAACCTGAATACAACCGTTTACTTGCTTTGTTTGTTTGGTAGATTAGACTTGCACTCCAGTTTTATTGCTAGATAACAAGAACTCACTGAGTAGTCAGCAAATCTAGGACCCGGGTTGATAATTAAACCTAAACCCGCTATACTACGCTTTAGGAAGTGGTTACACTTGGCCAATTCCTGGAGTGACAGTAGAGTCGAGTCAAGTTTTTGGCGCCGTTGCCGGGGACGGCTAGGTTGTTGAAGAAAAGTGATTTCTGTTAATTTAGCTTTTCTTTTTGCTTTGTTTTCTTTGTCCCACTTGTGCCTTCACGGGTTT